AGGATCTGAAGTGAACTGATGATGTGTGACTTTACAGTATCATAATAAAAAGGTGCATTTACAGGTCTGTCAGGCTTTATTCTTTGAGTATGAAGTCCCTGTGAGCYTGTAAAAAAAGTACTGAAGATGTGTTTGCCTTAATGGGCAAAAGCACTATGGTTCTATTTCGACAAGGTGAAGGTAACGTTGTCATTACCAGCTCCGTCCAAAATAACTATAATATCACAACAAAAACTGATATYCTCATCATAACATGCCGTTTGTACACATGGCACACAAAAACACACTCTATAAATACAGAACACAGAGAGAATGACACATTTAAAAAGATGCACACATATTGTGCAATAAACTAAACAAAATGATATAACTACAAATCCAGTTTATTACAATTTAATCTTCACGACATTCGGCAAAATCTTCCAGGAACACGTTGGTCCTCATAAGAACAGAAGACAACACACGGCCTCAGAGATGCATTTTGGCATCATCATCATGGTGATAGAGGAAAATGGGGTGATATTTGGAGAAATGGCCTGAGAGGCTCAATGTGACCCTTATTTCTCATGAAGAGTAATAAAAGGGTGTAGATGTGGACTGATGCTCATGCTTCCACCCATGATTGTTCTCAGTGGAGGGTAAAATGCATTTCAGCTCAGCGTCTCTGCCGTTCTCTGTGTTTAAGAGTCACAGAATGGCTCACGGGCCTSAAAATGGGACCCAGAGGCAAAAATCGAGTAAATAGACATTTAACAAATATGTTTTCCTGTTTTAATTGAAAATAAAAAAGGAATGTGATGTTTTTCCACAAACTGATTTAATTAAATTTTATTCAACTTGATTAGTTAACACGACACGGCGGAGCAGTGATTAGAGCTGTCGCCTCACAGTGGGAAGGTCGCAGGACCACCTACCAGTCTGGGGTCTTTGTGTGGCGTTTTGCTTACTGTGAGAAAAACGTGCTGTTTGACGCATAAAATGAAAGAGTAAGTTCACGAAGATGGAAAGGTTTATACAGTAACAAAACCTTGAAATGAAAAAATGTGTGTGTGTGTGTGTGTGTGTGTGTGTGTGTGTGTGTGTGTGTGTGTGTGTGTGTGTGTTATACAGTAAATCATAGAGGGGAGTATATTTCTCAAGCTAAAGTGAACAAACGCTCTGAGTGCTTTAGTTATCAAGTGAAGTCGGTTATTTTGAGGCATCTTGCTCGGTCCTTTTCACAATCATTTACAGAAAATTGCTCTATGCGGTTCCAGTCACCAAAGCGCACTCAAGAAAAAGACAATCAATATAAAAATCACAATTCATTTATACATTTAGCTCATCAGAATTCTGCTGTATTTTAACGATCGACGCCAATTCTTTTTAACAATCACTGGTGGCATTTCTGGTKCATTTTAACCATAGGGGTCAGACTGAGGGCAATTTTATTTGTTGTTTTTTTRCCCCGGAAAATCAGAGTTTCTCACGGTACTTGGTCTGCGCCTGACAGTGAGGCAACAATTGCTTGGGCGAAGTAATATGACAGCATCATGGACAACAAACACTGCTCTGTGATARAYCCTTCATGAGTCACCAACATGACAYAGTGTTGTTAAAACGCTGTGGATTAATCCTTTCACTGTTTTCATCTTTAAAGTGGCTACCAGGTTTTTAATGTCATATTTAATGTCTTTTTTAGTGTACAGTAGTGAACACACAGGGTAAAATAATAATTATAAATGTTAGTATAATAATGAGATATTAATCTTATGGACATAATATACAGTACATTGTAGAAAGTTGTCAATGGTCACAATTTTTAAAGAAAATATACTTTTTTTCTATCCAAGGTGAAAAATTTGTAAGCTTCACAACTTTACAATCAATCACAAAAGATTTTATTCGTCATTGGTGGGAGGTTTTCTTATGTATAACTCATTTTAGATTAGCCAAATACTTTAGTTATTTATCTAAACAACGATCATATTACTGTTAAAACTATGGATTTAAAATGAATCATTCCATATCCACGCTGAGAGGTTGATCAGTCTTATACTTTGTGTTTAATCAGRCAAAATACAGGATTATAGGAAATCTATAATAAAAGCCTTTAATGAAAAGCACTAAAAAAGAAACACACACATTMCTAGTTGTTTTGTTTTTTATTGGCCTCTTCGAACCATGTTCAAACAATGACAATTGCAAAAAAATAAACATAAAATAAACCAAAACCTTCCTCTAAGACCTCTTCTACTACGCTCAACTGCTGATTGTGTGTTCCTCCGTTGTTTGTAGAATGTAACCAATTTGCTAATGGGGTTTAAATTATTTAACCAGACTCATAACCACTTTAGAAATCCCTTGTAATGTTTTATTGCTTAACTCCCGAACTTCTGCTCGCTCAGGTTCATCTGAGGGGAACTATTCAGACGGAAACCTTTTAGCTTGAATTTAGATTTTGGTCTTAAGAATGGACTGATTGCGAAACAGAGATTTTGATGATCCTATAAGGTATAAGTCTGCTCATTTTACTGGAATGTTATTGCAATTTAAGGTGATAGAAGAAATGTGACCATAGTGACTGAAGCTCACAGTTACTCTGTAATGAAAGAGTAACTCATCWTGTGTAGAAATACTAATGCCTCCAGCTCTAAGGAGTCTACAAACCTCTCATTACACCTTTTATGGAACTAAAATTCAAGAGATAGAAAGGTACAGGRTGAAATTGCCAATGTTAGTTAGAGAAAATTGGAACCAAAAGCCATGGGAAGGCCTCCATCTTCCCAAAATTACATTTAGTTTTCCCATGTAGAAAAAGGTAAATTTGTTTTATCATTTTAAAGAGATCGCCGATTAGTTGTAACATTAGACTTTATTTAATAAATATTTATTTTAACTGTAAAATAAAGACTGTAAAAATACTGTAGGCTGTTTAGTTTTTATAATTTTTAAACTAAACGTTTAAAAATGTATTACACAGACAGGGCCATTTTATTTACATGCAAAGCATTCTGGGTAAATTATGACGTGGATAGATCCTRGGTGCGAGGCTGCTAGRGAGCTATATCCACKCTGAAGMTTAATCTWGGACAATATCTGATGATCGYCTCTTTTAAATGAAACCAGAGAGCGTTGACAGAGAGGAGAAGGTAGAAATGACTCAGCCTGGAACTGAAAATATGGATGGAGGACAACAGAGCTACTTCATGGAAGAAGAACCTCAGCTTAGCCTGTTAGCTTTAGCATTAGCCCCGATGCTATCACCATATTAGCTCAGCACTACACATTCTCCTCTCATCACTGAGGTCCTCCATCCACATGACAGAGAGGGGAACACAAAAATGACTCAGCCTGGAACTGAAAATATGGATGGAGGACAACAGAGCTYCTTCATGGAAGAAGAACCTCAGCTTAGCCTGTTAGCTTTAGCATTAGCTCCAATGCCATCACCATATATTTGTATTAGCTCAGCGCTACACATTCTCCTCTCATCACTGAGGTCCTCCATCCACATGACAGAGAGGGGAACACAAAAATGACTCAGCCTGCAACTGAAAATATGGATGAAGGACCTCAGTTTAGCTTGTTTGTCGCGCTAGTGCAAAGACTAACTGGGGTTCTTCTTCCATGAAGCAGCTCTGTTGTCCTCCATCCATATTTTCAGTTKCAGGCTGAGTCATTTCTACCTTCTCCTCTCTGTCAAGGCACTCTGGTTTCATTTAAAAGAGACAATCGTCAGATATTGTCGAAGATTAAACTTCAGGGTGGATATAGCTCGCTAGCAGAATCGCACCGATCTATCTACATCATCATTTACCCAGAATGCTTTGCGTGTAAATAAAATGGCTCCGTCCGTGTTGAAATATATCTTTAAAAATTTACTAAACAGCTGCAGTATTTTTACAGTTTTTATTTTAGTTAAAATATATGTTCAAATAAAGTCTAATGTTACAACTAATCGAGGATCCCTTTAAAAGCCAGCAACACCGACCATTCRACTGACCTTTGGGAAACGTAGCCAAACATTTAGGGTGGAAAAACAATTTAACCCTTCTCACAGTCGAGCAGTAATTATAAGCAAGCAGTTGATTGTAATTCCACATTGACATTGCTGATTACGTACAATAGATCTACCCTTCTCCAAAATAAAATAAATTCCACATTTTTTCATTAAAATTACCCATCTCTTTTTTCCAGCTTACATCAAAACAGTTGCAGAAATAAAAAAAAAAAGATTAAACAAGTGAGCGGGACTGTAAAATGTGATTAATCTCACAGCAAGTTAAGAGTCAAAATGTTTTTTCAGCTGAAAGCACTGCTACACCTTAAACTACTACTAACTCWGAATTGTTGGGCTGTTCCTTCAGRGGGTTTTAATGATGCTAGAGTTGGCTAGATCCAGTAATGTGTCCAGAATAAACAATGTAGTCATCAGTCAAAATGTTTATTGCTTTAGTGGAGGCTGCCCAGCACAGTTATGTTCCCCTGGTTTGACTCAACTTTTGCCTTTAATCTGCATCTGTCCAACATCTGTTTTACTTCTTTTCCACAAATCCCGCTGCCTCAGATCCAACAGTTTGGGTTGTGATTTAAGTCGTCAAAATAACAATTTATTCTTTCTTGATTACCAAAAAGAGATGCAACGTGTGTATAATAATTTAGATTCCACCTCAGTTTGTCTTTGGACCAGCCATCTGGTAAAACTTCCCAACATTTGGTTTGGTTTTCCGTATGAAACGGACATCCCAGACTCACTATTACTAAACAACTTTGATTGTGACGCATTTATGGATCTCCTTCATTTTTACATCACATTATGGGAGGAAACTGATTTCCTTCTTTACACAGAGACAAGAATGAACTCAGCCCCTGAAACAAAGACAGGAACATCTTTAGTAAAAGAACRGGTGAGAACACTTTCACATTGTGGTGGCACTCTAGATAGCGTTTTGTACCATGTTCACACAATAAAATGTACAAAATACCACCATGTTGTTTGTTAGTGACCTGTAGTCTTATTCACAAGCACTTCGAAGCATGTTTATTTATTTACAACATACAGTGTACTCTGAAACAATAACACATTTATAAATAAATATTGCAATCTTCACAAGCTTACAGTCCACCTTTTTTATTGTCAGTTTGTCACGACTGGTCACCTGAGCTTAACGAAGGTGAGGCAACCTCTGCCCGCTCCGTCTTTTCATCGTTTCTTTTATGTGCTATCATTTACCAGCAGGTTTATCGTTCTCAGTCTTTGTCCTTGGCCGTTCTGGGTTTTTTTTTCTCACCCTCTCAAATGTCAGTTTAAATAAATAGAAACAGTATCTAACGAGAATCTTATTAAACCTTAATAAACCTCTGAAAAAAGCTACYATTTAACAACTTTCTAAACTTGGAAAAGAAAGTAAAAAGGAAAAGAATGAAAACATATATATCAAAAAGTATAAACAAAGGGGAAAATATATAATATTGTTCAAAAAGATGTTTCATGAACCCATGTTAATAGAACTCATATTGTTAGATATTCATTCCATAGTGTCATTAGTTCCTGGTAGCTCCATGTACTGCACATACGTCTTGTTACCTACATGGTTTTTGTTTCATAAAATCCCCCCTTACAAAGCTTTCAGGGAGAGTTTCTTTAAAGTCCGTGCCACATTTCAGTGTTCAACCTTGTTGCTTACAGACTGCCTCCGTGTTGCACTGCAGCTACTGCAGCTGTCCCGTCACAGACAAGGAGCGAGGCGAGGGGATTTCAGGATTGGCTCTGAATACAAGGAGAACGAAGTCATTGGCTGCGAGGTTCAGGAAATTAAGCCTTAAAAATGGCTAGTGTCTTTTCTCATTTTTAATTGTGCAAGAGTTAAAAACCTCTCTTCTCGCATCCGAGGGAGAAACGGTCTTCTTTTTAACGACACGCCATCTTTAAACTCTCAGCAATGTTCGAAGAAAAAGCACAATTGCCTGAATTCAGGGCTGATTAATCCCCCACTACTGACTGCAAAAATGCCTGAACTTCTAGTTGAATACTTTAAATATATATTTCTTTTACATTTCACATTATACTTGTGAGCAATACCAAAAGAAAATGGGTCACATAATAGAGCAAAGATTGCATCTATAATGAATATTAAAAAATAAAATAAAATAAAAAGRGGTGATTCTCTGAGTAACCATTTAGGAGACTTGGTAGATAACTGAACGGTTCACATTTGAAAACGAATTGAACAATTATTCCACAGCCAAAGCCAACACTGGCAATAAATAATAAATAAAAGACTTGTGAAGTCAATACAAGATAAAAGATTCTCAACATCTTGTTCAAATGTATAGTGGCATAAAAAAAGGTTGTCCAATAACTTACCCTGAATTTATTATGCATGAATACAGTGGTTTTCTTGTTTTCTGAAKGTCAATAATCAAAACCAATAGTGACTCTTATTGATTTTTACACTAAAATGTCCAATAAGTAACACAAATACAAACCAATGATGTTACTTATTGTTTGCTACCATTACTTTTAGTGTGAGCTAGTGGTGACTTTATGCTTTCCATATATCTTAACAGATGTAAAACATAAGCAGCCCCAACACTGTCTGACAATCTTCCAACATCTTTACAACACTTTTCCTTTTTTTTACTGCTCCCATCTTACTGCCATTGTCTCTTCATTAATCCGCTGCAAAGGCATTACAGGTGAATTGTACTCATTGTCCATCCTCCCTCCTGCACTCATCTGCTGACACCTCTTTCTCTAAGTCTCTTTCACATCAGTCACAGATTGTCTTGTAGCCTCTCCATGTAGGTTCTGATTTCAGACTGACCCAGGTCCATGTCCTGGCACACCCATTTGATGTCATCCTCGCTACCGTTGGTTACGAGGACAGAGGAGTTGGTGTACGCCCCGCCCCCACCTGAATTATCGGTGGGCAACACAGTGGCAAACGATGTGAATTTGACCCGTTTGCGTTTGGCAGCGGCCACCGCAGCTGCAGCCGTGGCTCTGGGAGAATTATTCAGATGCTCTGTTTGACCAGCGGCATCTTTGCCGCTGGTAGTGATTGCTGAAAGGCACTGACGCGGTTCTGGGATAGACCTCGGCAGGGTCTGCCCGTGGGTGACGCCTCGCAGTCCGCCTGTGCCACCGCTCCCACTGACCGTGCCCATGCCCGTGCCCACGCCCATCACCAAAGTGTTCCCGGCCCCATTCAGCAGGTACTTGTTCTCCTCGTATCCTCCTTCGTTCCGATCAATGATGGTGGTGCACTCATCCGGCATCCCGCCCTGACACTGGTCAGCGTGGTCAGCCAACAGGTCAGCCTCATTGCCGAGCCACACCCAGTCATGGGCGTGGTTCATGTTGCCTCCTGCCTCTAGAACAGGCACCTGCTTGTGACGATATCTGTAAAAAGAAAAGAAAGACATTTTTTAAATATTATGCCTGATTATTAATTCAGCTCTGAACACTATTAATAAATTTATTACTTTTACATTTCTATGTACAATAGGCAAAATCCTGATAAAACTAATATGTTAAGGGGGAGGATAAAAATAATGCCCAGTGACCTACTGTACACCTCGCATTTAGGTTAAAGTTTAGTTTTGTAAACTATAGTTTAAATAAATACCAGCAATTTGTATTCTAACAGTTCTTTTTCACTCTTTGTTTTCTGTCCACCTGTCAGACTTCTCTCTGTCCCTTATGTACAGTACTTTCTGRACTGTGGCAATGTGCAGAATGTTGACTAGCCTTTTTGGGTTTTAGAGCAGGAATATGACTAAGAAAATAGGAGAGAATGTTGTGTTTGAATACAGCCTGAAGGAATGATGAATTACATGGTTTAATTAACACCTTTTTTTGCAAGTACCATATTTATTCGTGTATAATACGATCTCATGTATAATACAACCCCCCCCCCCCACTTTTAGCTTAAAAAAGCATAAAAAATTAATCCTCAAACTACCTCCAATTTCATTCAGACTTCAAGATTTTTCAGCCTTTGCAGTCTTTATACATATCAGTAAAATGATCATTGGACTGTTCATTTAATTTTAACAACATATGTACTAAAAGGTATTTTGACAACAAATATATATCAGTTGTAGCAGCATCATATGAATTCTGGCATTTTACACATAGTCCACCAGGATGCGCGAAAACAAAAGTCAGAGACTTCACATGAGATTTGGACCATCTTGTGGGAGAAAAGCAGATTACTTCCTACTCGCGAGCACCCCCTCTGGTGGGGAAACTTTTTTCAGGGATACAAACTTTTTTAGAACACTGGTAGACGGCAGCCATTACAGACAAACGTGTTTGTTGTTGTTGTTGTTCCAGGAGCGGCCCAGTCACATGCTAATGTCATTAGTTCTTTGTGCAGGACTGCTCCCCACCCACCTTTTTTTCACATCATGTTGCCGCCCTGGATCTGTTATTATCTCGCTCTGAAGCACAGAGGATGTCAGAGGTAAGCCAACTTCAACTGCTTTTTATGACGCAGTCTCATTTCCGAACTCAGGCATTTTGTGAATGAAGCCGATATTTCAGTTAAAATACATAGGTAAAAATATTTATCCGAGAATAGCACTACCCCCCAACTTTATGGACGATTTCATGGATTAAATTTTATGTATTATACTTGAATAAATATGGTAGTTAATTTATTTACGTAACATGACAACAATGTGGATTTAAACATTTTAAATAGACCATCAGCTTGCATATTCATTAAATAAAAAAATAGAAATAGAAAACACATCTGGCTAAGAAAAAAAAAACTTGGTTTATAAAGTCCTTCACATGATCTGTAGATAACCTTTAATTAAAAAAAWAATAATAATAATAATAATAACAAGTGCTAGATTTTGACCATATTTTACCTGAAAGCAAAGCTGACACAGTTGATGAGAAAGACCAGTATTGCCAGGCAGAATACTCCCAGAAGGGCGTACATTCCAATCTCCAGATCAGACAGGCCTCTCGTGGTCTGGGTCAGCTCACCGTTCCCAGGTCCTGGCACCTCCACCTGTGCTGGGTAGCTGTTATAGTCCCCTGGCTGGTTGGGACCACCGCCTCGGCTGAGGCCTGCTCTTCCACCTGTAGCACGATGGGTGACTGTGCTTTTGGTTGTTGTGCTAACCTGATAAATTTAAGTACATGATGATAATAAATGAACAGGGTTTTCTTCACATTCATGTAGAATAACCTAAATATTGCTTTTACTGATTTAAAACTTAATAAAAGAAAAAACAAAGTATTTCAACCTGTTATATAAYCAAAAAGTTTCAAGTTACTAATTTAAGGTAAACATTGTAAATGAGGCTCTCACCTTTCTCATGGCTCCTTCCTCTCTGTCCACAGCAGCACTGCTGGACTTCCACTCTCCTCCATCCTTTGTCCTTTGTTCATTGGTACTGTTGTCCAATCCTCCACCATCCTCCTGTCCACCTCTGTCTTCACTATTTGCTCCAAACTTAACTACCACATACCCAACTCCAGCTGCCAGCACACTCTTCCTTTTAGACTTCTGACAAGACTCTGAAAGGACCATATCAACACGAACCAGCGGACCCTGTCCATCAGCCTCCGCAACTATAATTGGCCAATGCTGCTCCTAATTGATGTAAAAAAAATGCAAGGAAACAAAATACAATAGTTATGCTTTACGTAAAATAAAATAAAAAGGTTTTTTTAATTTATTTATTTATCATAACATGATCTTTAGAATGCTGGTCATTGGTGATCAAACCTGATTCATTATGGAAACGATGCTCTCATCCTTAGAAACAGCTGAAAGGTGGTAGTCCTTTGGATCATAGATATCAAGCGGTGTCACTGAGCCATCACTGTACTGGATCCATGCACTGAACGTAGCTTCCTGGAATGGAAAAAATGAAAATAAAAGAGAAAAAACAAAAACAAACAAAAAATACATGGTTACAGTTCCAATAATCAGAGATTAGTCAGTATAAGCATATTAGTAATATCTAATTAATAATTTCATATTATCTATATAAGAAATTGTGGTATTTTGTGTACACAAATTTATTGTGTTTATTATTTTTAGTTTTTAATTTATTATTTCTTTTTTGTAAAGAAATAATTTGTTTACTAGCACAAGTTTATGACCAAACAGTTGAATTAGCTTTAAAGGAGAAAACYTAGTGACAAGCTGTTTTATTTTTTTCAAAATGTAAAAAAAAAAAACAAGCAAAAAAAAAAATCTCATGGCTTTTATTGGTTTTGTAGCTGCAGATGCAGCAGACAGCTGTTTTTAATGTGAAAAAGTTACCAATACATTTAGATGCTTTGCAGACAAGCAACAAGACACATTTAGCAACCAGCTGGTGTGAAAAGGAAAGATAATTTCTTTTTGTCCCTTCATAAAATGTTAAGATTGTTTGAGCTGCAAGAGAACTTGAAAAATARGTTGAATGTTCTTTTTATGCTAAAAACATTATCATGACAAGGATCTTTACCTTCACTGACCAGAAAGAGCAGATTTCAACTGTCAACATTTTCTTGCTTTAAAAACTTGTGGCTTTTTTCTCATTTGCATTTATTTAGGTAGAATGAAGCTTGGAAATTATCAATGGTGCTGGCCTTGGTAGCTTGAAAAAAACTGTCTTTAACCTGGTTCAAACCAGACACTGTCCTTCACTTTGCTTCGTACAAAGGTCTAGACTCGCTGCATAGAGAAGCGTTTCTTGCAGGAGGCGTGGCCTCRGCTGAGGCATGTGTGTGTTGTCGCTGTGACGGAGGCTAAGCTAAGAAGCTAACCGGAAATCGCGTGTGCTGTAAACAACCCTACTGAGAGGAGAAAAGTACCGAGCTGAACAAGTCGACTGTAAATGAGAGCTGCTGCTTTGTCAGACAAAATTATTTTAATTTCACTTCCTCCACTGCTGTATGCTAAACTAACTAGCAGACACTGCGCAGAAAATCAACATCATTCAAAACTCCTCCTTCTGTTCGCTGATTGGCCCAGGTAAAATAAACTACAAGCCGACACTGCACAGAAATTTTATGTTCTGTTCTCTGATTGGTTCGGCTAAAAATCTGCCAGCGAAATCCTTGTCCATGGCAGAAGTCCCAGACYGAGCAGTGAAGGGAAACTAGAATTGAGCGGAGCTGCGTAGGAAGGCAAGGACCAGGCTAGTCTTTAACATAACTGAAATAAAAAGCAAGTCGTTACTTGTTGAATGGGATGAAATAGGAAATCTACTCTCCTGTCTCTACCAGGCACCTCTGTGCATGTGAGCTTCAGTGGCTGCACCTGAACACTGTTTCTACAAAACACACATTTATTTATTTATTTATTTATTTATTTATTTATTTATTTATTTATTTATTTATTTTTCCCATCTTGTCTTGC